GCCTCGGCCTCCCAAAGTGCTGGGATTACAGGCGTGAGCCACCACGCCCGGCCCAATTTAGCAGCTTCTGTCTTCAATTAGTATTTCCTTCAGGTGGCATTTCTAAGTAGATTGTCCTTCTTTCCTCTGATACCAGTACTTTTTCATGTGGAAATGATATGCGGGGAAAAAAATCTGAGTTCATAATAAATTCAAGTTCTTTCTTCCATTCTCTATGGCTTGCTGTAAGTGCTATAGGAATAAAGTTTAGGATCATGTTCAAAGTTAGCTAGCAGGTGGGAGTTTTATTCTGAGACTTAAAAAAAACCCAACAGAATATTAGAGAAAGATTTCAGAGAACATCTTACAGGGTGAATGATTCTAGTTACAGTTTATTAGAATTCCTTTTGTTTTTCCATATCTTTATGCCACTATATTTGGTCTGTATTAAACATTTCTAATCAGTTTTTTCTCTTTTTGTGTCATTATAACACATTATAAAATGTGATGCCTATAGATTTAATGAGTTAATCTCACTTGGTGAATATGAAAAGGCAGCTTGTTATGCAGCAAACAGTCCTAGAAGAATTCTTCGAAACATTGGCACAATGAATACATTTAAGGGTAAGCATTTCTCTCTGAACCTTATATATGTATGCAAATTTACTGCTTTTTCTCTCATAAAATGAAAAAAGCATTAAACTGGGAGTCTAGAGGTCTAGGCCCCAGCCCTCTCTCTACCATTTACTCAGTTTGCTTAGCAGTAACATTAGGGGTTTGATTAGATTTTCTAAATTATATTATGAACGATTTTAAGTATATAGAAAAGTATGGAGAAACATTAACACCAACGTACTCACTGTCAAGATTTAATAAATGTTAATATTTTGTCAAATTTGCTCCACATTATTTTAAAACACAGCTTCCTTGTGGTAAATTGACATAATACAACAAATTGTACATATTAAAGTACACAATTTGGTAAGTTTTTTTTTTTTTTTTTTTTTTTTTTTTTTTTTTTTTGGTGAGACAGTTTCACTCTTATCATCCAGGCTGGAGTGCAGTGTGCAATCTTGGCTCACTGCCACTTCTGCCTCCCGGGCTCAAGTGATTCTCCCGCCTCAGCCTCCCGAATAGCTGGGATTACAGGTGTGTGCCACCACAACCAGCTAAATTTTTTGTACTTTTAGTTGAGACAGGGTTTCACCATGTTGGCCAGTCTGGTCTCAAACTCCTGACCTTAGGCAATCTGCCCACTTTGGCCTCCCAAAGTACTGGGATTACAGGCATGAGCCATTGCGCCCGGCTCAATTTGATAACCTTTGACATATGCATACACCCATGAGATTATCACTCAAAAGTTCCCTCATGCCCCTCAGTATCCCTCTCTTCCCACTACTTCCTAGTTCTCTCATCCTTTTCTCGTCCTAAGTTATTTTACTTAGGATAATGGCGTTCAGTTTTATTTTATGGCTGAGTAGTGTTTGGTGATGTGTGTGTGTTTCTGTGTGTGTATGTGTTTTCTTTATCCAGTCATCCCTTGATGGACACTTAGGTTGATTCTCTGACTTTGCTATTGTGAATAGTGCTATGATAAACATAACGAGTGCAGGTGTCTTTTTCATATAATGGTTTCTTTTCCTTTGGGTAGATACCCAGTAGTGGAATTGCTGGATTGAATGGTAGTTCTATTTTTAGCTCTTTGAGAAATTTCCATACTATATTCCATAGAGATTGTACTAATTTACATTCCCACTAAAAATGTATAAGCATTCCCTTTTCTCCACATCCTCTCCAACATCTGTTGTTTTTTGACTTTTTATTAATAGCCATTCTGATTGGTGTAAGATGGTATGTCATTGTGGTTTTGTAGTTCCCTGCTTTGTAGATTTCTCTGCTTTGGGCAGTATGGCCATTTTAACAATTTAACTATTTTTTTAACCCATTAAATAGCCCCACCTCCCCCACCCAACTCTCCTACTACCCTTCATAGCCTCTGGTAACCACCTGTCTACTATGTTCATGAGTTCAATTGTTTTTATTTTTAACTCCACAAATAAATGAGAGCATGTGAGGTTTGTCTTTCAGTGCCTGACTTATTTCACTTAACATAATGACCACCAGTTCCATCCATGTTGTTGCAAATGATAGGATCTCATTCTTTTTTATGACTAAATAGTACTCCATTGCCTATACATACCACATTTTCTTTATCCATTTGTCTGTTGATGGACACTTAGGTTGCTTCCAAATCTTGGATATTGTGAATAGCGTTGCATTAATCATAAGATTGCTGAATCATATGGTAGCCCAATTTTTCGCTTTTTGAGGAACCTCCAAACTGTTTTCCATAGTGGTTGTACTAATTTACATTTCCACCAACAGTGTACAGGGGTTCCCTTTGCTCCACATCGTTGCCAGCATTTCTTATTGCCTGACTCTTGGGTAAAAGCTGTTTTAACTGGGCTGAGGTGATATCTCACTGTAGTTTTGATTTGCATGTCTCTAATGATCAATGATGTGGAGCACCTTTTCATATGCCTGTTTGCCATTTGTATGTCTTCTTTTGCGAAATGTCGATTCAAATCTTTTGCCATTTATTTTACCCTTTTTTTAATTAAAAAAATTTTTTTTTATTATACTTTAAGTTCTAGGGTACATGTGCACAATGTGCAGGTTTGTTACATATGTATATATGTGCCATGTTGGTGTGCTGCACCCATTAACTCGTCATTTACATTAGGTATATCTCCTAATGCTATCCCTCCCCCGAACCAACAATAGACCTGGTGTGTGATGTTCCCCTTCCTGTGTCGAAGTGTTCTCGTTGTTCAATTCCCACCTATGAGTGAGAACATGCAGTGTTTGGTTTTTCTGTCCTTGCGATAGTTTGCTGAGAATGATGGTTTCCAGCTTCATCCATGACCCTACAAAGGACATGAACTCATCTTTTTTTATGGCTGCGTAGTATTCCATGGTGTATATGTGCCACATTTTCTTAATCCAGTCTATCATTGATGAACATTTGGGTTGGTTCCAAGTCTTTGCTATTGTGAATAGTGCCGCAGTAAACATACTTGTGTATGTGTCTTTATAGCAGCACGATTTATAATCCTTTGGGTATATATCCAGTAATGGGATAGCTGGGTCAAATGGTATTTCTAGTTCTAGATCCTTGAGGAATCGCCGCACTGTTTTCCACAATGGTTGACTAGTTTATAGTCCCACCAACAATGTAAAAGTGTTCCTATTTCTCCACATCCTCTCCAGCACCTGTTGTTTCCTGACTTTTTAATGATTAAGTGTTTTGTTTTGTTTTGTTTTTGACAGAGTTTCTCTCTTGTTGCCCAGGCTGGAATGCAATGGCACGATCTCAGCTCACCGCAACCTCTGCCTCCCGGGTTCAAGTGGTTCTCCTACCTCAACCTCCCTAGTAACTGGAATTACAAGCATGCGCCACCACGCCTGGCTAATTTTGTATTTTTAGTGGAGATGGGGTTTTACCATGTTGGTCAGGTTGGTCTCGAACTCCCAACCTTAGGTGGTCCACCCACCTTGGCCTCCCAAAGTGCTGGGATTACAGGCATGAGCCACCGTGCCTGGCCATCTTTTGCCTATTTTTAATCAGATTATTAGATTTTTTTCCTATGGAATTGTTTGAGTCCCTTATGTATTCTGGTTATTAATTCCTTGTTAGATGGGTAGTTTGCACATATTTTTTCCCATTCTGTGGGTTGTCTCTTCACTTTGTTGATTGTATCCTTTCTGTGCAGAAGCGTTTTACCTTGATGTGATCCCATTTGTCCATTTTTTTCTTCAATTGCCTGTACTTGTGGAGTATTATGCCAGAAGTTTTTACCCAGACCAATGTCCTAGAGAATTTCCCCAATGTTTTCTTGTAGTGGTTTCATAATTTGAGGTCTTAGATTTAAATCTTTAATCCATTTTGATTTGATTGTTTTATATGACAAGAGATAGGGGCCTAGTTTCATTTTTCTGCATATGGATATTCAGTTTTCTTGCCACCATTTACTGAAAAGACTGTCTTTTCCCCAGTGTATGTTCTTGGCACGTTTGTCAAAAGTGAGTTCACTATAGGTGGGTGGATTTGTTTCTGGGTTCTCTATTCTGTTCCATTGGTCTGTGTATCTGTTTTTATTCCATTACCATGCTGTTTTGGTTACTATAGCTCTGTAGTATAATTTGAAGTTAGCTAATGTGATTCCTCCAGTTTTGTTCTTTTTGCTTAGGATGGTTTTTGGCTATTCTGGGTCTTTGTGGTTCCATATAATTTTGGGGGTTGTTTCTTCTATTTCTGTGAAGAACTTCATGGTATTTTGATAGGGATTGCATTAAATCTGTAGATTGCTTTGGGTAGTATAGATATTTTAACAGTACTGATTCTTCCAATCCATGAACATGGAATATCTTTCCATTTTTTGTGTGTCCTCTTCAATTTCTTTCATCAATGTTTTATAGTTTTAATTATAGATCTCTTTCAATGCTTTGGTTAATTCTAGGTATTTAATTTGTGGCTATGATAAGCAGGATTACTTTTTAAAATTTCCTTTTCAGATTGTTTGTTGTTGGCATATAGAAATGCAATGATTTTTGTATGTTGATTTTGTATCTTTCAACTTTACTGAGTTTATCAGTTCTCATAGGTTTTTTTTTTTGGAGACAGAGTCTCACTCCATCACACAGGCTGGAATGCAGTGGTGCAATCTCAGCTCACTGCAACCTCCGCCTCCAGATTCAAGTGATTCTCCTGCCTCAGCCTCCTGAGTCACTGGGACAATGGGCACATACCGCCAGGCCCAACTAATTTTTTTGTATTATTAGTAGAGACGGAGTTTTGCCATGTTGGCCAGTCTGGTCTTGAACTCCTAACCTCAAGTGATTGGCCTGCCTTGTCCTCCCAAAGTGTTGGGATTACAGGCATTAGCCACCACGCTTGGCCTCTAATAGTTTTTTGGTGGAGTCTCTAGATTTTTTTCTTTCACTTTTTTTTTTTTTGAGATGAAGTCTTGCTCTTGTCCCCCAGGCTGGAGTGCAATGGTGCAATCTCAGCTCACTGCAACCTCCGCCTCCTGGGTTCAAGCAATTCACCTGCCTCAGCCTCCCGAGTAACTGGGATTACAGGCACCTGCCACCACGCCCAGCTAATTTTTGTATTTTTAGTAGAGACAGGGTTTCACCATGTTGGTCAGGCTGGTCTCAAACTCTTGACCTCAGGTGATTCACATGCCTTGGCCTTCCAAAGTGGTGGGATTACAGGCATGAGCCACCGTGCCTGGCTAGATTTTTTTTCAAATATAAGGTTATGTCATCAGAAAACAAAGATAATTTAACTTCTTCCTTTCCAATTTGGATACCCTTTATTTCTTTTTCTTGTCTGATTGCTCTAAGTAGGACTTTCAGTACTATGTTGAATACCAGTGGTGAAAGTGGGCATCTTTGTTGTGTTCCAGATCTTACAGGAAGGGCTTTCAGTTTCCTCCCATTCAGTACGATTCTAGCTGTGGTTCTGTCATATATGGCTTTTATTATGTTGAGATATATTCCTTCTATCCCTAGATATTTTTATGGGTTTTTTCATGAAGGATGTTGAATTTTATTAAATG